CCTGACAATTTTAAAGTTGTTCATTATGTGAACATTTGGTCGTCCAAATATAGACTTGATGTTGGATCGAATTTATTATCAATAATTGATTACTACACAAGAGTAACACTTATAAGTTGATATTTCTATCCAAAGACTAAATATCAATATTGTGCTCGGTCTCTTATGATGGGATTCGCCATTATTGGAAATTATTAATTGTCCAATACAAATTCTTATGTGAACATGTTATTTAGGTTTAAGTTCTCTATTTGATTAATCTATCTACTTTTACAAAACCTGCCAACTAAGTAATTAAATTCATGTACTTGAACCAAAGTTTAATGGTTGGAAAGAAAAAATTTGTATCATTCCAGACGGCATGGATCTAGACAATACATTAAGAACTTAACTGAACAACCTACTACTCTTATGAATAAGAATTGCCCTAATAAAATGAAATTTGGATTAGTGGGATCATTCAAACCAGATAAAGTCTTACTATCATGAAACATGGCATTCTAGCAACATTCAACGACGCTATGTCAGATAAGATAACTACTGCCAAGGAGTTTCTTGAGAAAATTAAAAAATGCTTTGCAAAAGACATTATAAGGAAGTACATCATGGAGATACCTCATTTTGTTTCAAAACTAAATGTATTAAAGTTTGAGCTGTCTTATGACTTGCTCATACATTTGGTTTTAACTTCTCCTCATGCATAATTCAATCAATTTAAAGTCAGTTACAACTATCAAAAGGGGAAGTGGACTTTTAATGAGCTCATTTCATATTGTGTACAAGTAGAAGAAAGGCTAAAGCAAGATAAAAACTGATATTACTCACTTAACAATTTTCTCTAAGGTCAAATTAAAGAATAAGGAAATTGCATCGGCTCGATTCAAAAGAGTAGCAAAAGCCTAAAAATGATAATCATCTAACCGTTACTTCTGTGAAAATTTGAGATACGTGAAGAGAGGTTGTACTAAATATCACGCTTGGCATGTAAAGTAAAGTACACTTTCCACTTTGGTCTGTTTTGCTATTAATTTAGTTTCAGTACCTAAACATACTTAGTGGATAAATTTCAGTGTCGCTATTTAAATAAGCATGTCTAAGCGGGGTTGCCTGAACGGCCTAAAGCCAGTTGGTACTAAAAGATTCATCTATGTAGAGCGATGAAAAATCAGTTAAAGTAGAAGCTATATAGACTTTTAGGTTATTACTAAAGACTGGTTATTATTTGAAAATGAAATATGTATTTGCAATACTGTCTTTTAGATGAAATTTGATTTATATTTCTATATTGGACAAATTTGGTTACTCTTGTTCAATTGAAAATAATCAATTTGATCTTTTTCTTAATTCAGTGATTGTAGGTAAGGTTATGATAACTTTTATTTGCTTAATATGGTTGCCTCTTATACAAAAAAGATTTTGTCTATGAATTCACGTTATATTAAACATAAATTAACCATTGAGAATTTAGCTTCATTATGGCACAAGCAATCAAATCACATCTCTAAAAAGAAAAAGTAATAATTTGTGTCAGAAGAAATTCTTGATTTCTTGATTTTGCAAACTTTAATGTTTGTGTTGATTACATTAAGGGGAATCGGACAAATATAACGAGATTAGGTCCCAGTGGAATTCTAGACATCTTAGAATTAATTTATACGGATATTTGTGGATCATTCTCTGCAACTTCTTGGAAGGTCAACGGCCACATATTACATTCATAGACGATTACTCTCACTATGACTACCTATATCTCATTTATAAAAAATCACAATCACTGGACTATTCAAGATTTAAGAGGCTGAAGTTGAAAATCAACTCAATAAAAGAATAAAACAAATCGAATCTGACCATGGTGGTGAAAACTATGGAAGATATAATGGATTAGGAAAACAATGTCCAGGTCATTTGCAAGTTTCATAGAGGAATGTGCAATCATCCTACAGTAAACCTAAATCTATGTAAGAAGAAGCATTAAAGGATGTAGCTTAAATTCTGAACAAAATTCCAAAATAAAACAACTATCAAAATTCCATATGAACTTCGGATATGCAAGAAGCCTAATTTGAAGCACTTGCACATTTGGGATTTTCCAATTAAGGTAAGGAGGCCATCAAAAAATAATGTAGACTCCGGAATTGTCAGTTGCTAATTTATTGGATACTTTAAAAGGTCAAGTGATTACAAATTTTAATATCTCACTATCCCATCTTAAGGAGATTTACAATCGCGTACGAGCCGAATTGTCATCCCTAGCTATAAAGTTAAGCATTTTGTCTTAGTATATATATATATATATATATTTCTTCTATTATAATTGACAATCATCAGGATTATGGACGAATTCTTACTCCATATCTTGTTTAAGAAGCAATTTAAGATCAAAACAATATTACAAAACCCCATATACACAATCAAAAGATAGTTTCAAAAGAACAAACTCAAAAATCTAAAGAACAAATGCCATTAAAGAGATCCACTAAAGAAAAGAGAAAAGCAATTCGAATGACTTTATAGTCTTTCTCTAAGAAAATAAAGTTGCCATTGAATTGGTGGGCGAAGATCTGATCGATCAACTTTCAACAAGCAATGCAAAGGAATAGTTCTCAAAAGTGGATTCATGCAATAAATAAAGAGATAAAGCTCATAAATAACGATGACATTTGAGAATTCATGAAATTGCATGAAGGTGCAAATCCTATTGGTTGTAAATGGATATTTAAAACCAAGGGAAATTTGAAGGGTGATGTGGAGAGATATAAGACCCGTCTTATTGTAAATAACTTTATTAAAAAAAAAATGAGTTGACTTTAAAGAGACTTTCATACCGGTTTCTATGAAAAACTCTTTTAGAACTATTACGGCATTTGGGACACATTTTGATCTTCGACTACTTGAGATAGTTTACAAACTAAAGAAATTCATCCATGGGCTTAAGCAAGCTTCCCGTCAATGATATCACAAATTTTATCAAACAATTATCTCATTTGGTTTTGAGGTAAATGCAATTAATGATTTTGTATACCACAAGCTCAGTGAAAGTAAGTATATTTTTCGCATATTGTATGTCGATAACATACTACTTCCCTCTAATGATATAGGCTTATCATAAAATTTTGAAATGAAAGATCTTGGTGTCGTCTCTTTTATATTAAAGATAGGATACACCGAGATCATTCTCATTGTATTTTCAAATTATTACAAAAGAGTTATATGGAAAAGGTTTTGAAGAGATTTGAAATACAGGATTGTAAACTATGTGGTACCTCTATTGCTAAGAAAGACAAAATAAGTCTTAATCAATGCCCTAGGGATATACTTAAAGAAAAGGAAATATAGAAAATTTTCTATACTTCAACAATTGGGAGTTTAACGTATGTTAAGGTTTGCATACATTTGGATATAGCATTCATTATATGTAGATATATTAGTAAATCTAGAATAGATATTTGGAAAGAAACCAATTGGGTTATACAATATTTATAAAGAACTAAGGATTACATTATCACATACAGAAATCGAACCAATTATTGATCATTGAATATTTTGATTTTGATCATGGAATATAATAGTGGAATTTTCTCACTAGGCTGTACATTTTGGATAGAACTGAAAGACCACTTAAATTATTATTTGACAATAGCAGACATATATTCCAACAAGAGTTTTATGATATCAAAGTTTATAGACATTAAATTCCTATTTGTCAATGAAAGAATTCAGAATGTTCAAGTTTCTATGGAACATATTAGGACAAACTCTATAATTATGGATCCACTTATTAAGGGGCTATCATCCAAGATCTTTCATAAGCATACTGCTCACATGGTGTTACATCTTTTATGATGTGTCAGTTTAGCGAGAGTTTGTATTTGATTGTTGTCTGTTTTTAACACATATTTTCGTTCATGGATATTCGGTTTATTTCAAAAATAAAGTATTCGGTTCAATTTCACTCTGACTAGAGTTTATGGTTGATTTCATTAAAAATTAAGGTAGAACCAATTGAAAATAGTCATGTTTGGATCGTATTACATGTAATTTTTATGCTACACATTCATACTCGATCTATGTCATTTGATTGTATTGATATATGTAACCATTGATGGGTTTAGTTATGATACTTATAACGAAAACCATTTTTGATCCTATATTGATATAATCAATGGATAAGATTGTTCTAAGGTGCTTTTGATTATGATAGCAAAAGTTTTGACGTCGTAAGGTTATACACATTAATAAGTAACATATTAGCCCAAGTGGAGATTTTTGGGTTTATTAATTCGTCATGTATGCCTACATATGTAATTAATTGTGTATAAAACTATTTTAAAGGTAGCCCAAAATTAAAGTTGGCTGGATTATATGTATAGAGATTGGATCCATTAGGGTTGTGTTTCCTTGAGTGATGAAAATATAATTAGGGTTATGGCCTCCAATTCATATGTGACTTCTCATTCTTTGTGCCTCCCATCAACACAAGAATAATTAAGAAAAAACATATTGAAAAAGAAGATCCAATACCCACAATCAAAAGTCAAAAAGAAGGAAATCAAAAGGCGTTACCAAGAACAAGAATCAAAGGAGAAAAATTCAAGATTAAAAGTGAAGAAGTTAAACATGAAAAGATTGCAGTTTAAGTTTCAAAATTCAAGTTCCGAAACCAAGACCTTAATTATTCCGAATGAATTATAGTATGTTTTGCATTATTTAATTTTCTTGGTGATTTGACATGAAAATTTAACAATTCATAAAGTTTTATATAATTTAAGTTTCATAAATGGTTCAACACTAACTCTATCTTGAATTTGTGCACATGAAAAGAACTGTTCCAGACATAATTTAAATAAATAGCTACATTTGTGTGCTCTCTAAAGTTTGAATATGAATAAAATTAAGATAACAGAAGAGACAGTGTGTAAGTGACTTGACATATCGGGGGAAAGATAGGCACATGGGGACACATGAACTTATGTTCTATTTTCACCCAACTCCTATAAATGTATTAATTTCTCAACGCCTCGACCAAGCATCATTTATCTTGCCGTAATTTGTTTTGTCTACAAAAAAAGCTAAACTGTCCTATAAAACCCTACCATTGCCCGACCAGCATAGTTACAACTTCTTGGTATCAATCATATACACACATCCTGTCTAATTGAGATAAACCCAAGAAGAAATGGCAAGAGAAGGGAGTTCCAGCAGACAACAGAAATGGACTCTCCAGGGAATGACAGCACTGGTTACTGGTGGAACTAGAGGAATTGGGTAAACCACACTGAATTACTTCTCTTCTTTATCTTTTATTCGGACTCATTGTCCCTCGGGGCGGGGTAATCAAGCTGTCATGGATAATGAGTCTTTTTTTTTTTTTTAATGTTCTTGTTTGTGTGGATCTTAGATATGCCATAGTGGAGGATCATGGATAATGAGTCCTTTTTTTTTTTTTTTTTTTTTTTTTTTTAATGTTCTTGTTTGTGTGGATCTTAGATATGCCATAGTGGAGGAGCTAGCAGGATTTGGGGCCAAAGTATATACATGTTCAAGGAACCAGACAGAGCTGAATGAAAGGTTAAAAGAATGGGAAGAGAAAGGGTTTAAAGTAAGGGGTTCAGTCTGTGACTTGTCGTCAAGAACTCAGAGAGAAGAACTAATGAAGACAGTCTCGTCATTCTTTGATGGCAAGTTGAACATCCTAGTAAGTCAAACATTGGATTCATAATGTTGTTCTTCAGTTTCTTTCCCTTCTTCTCCTTGATTGTTCAAGTAGGTATATATGGAGTGGTTCATGTATTAGAACAGTTACAAAACCTGCCAACATCTTTTAATGATAATTTTGCCCTGAGATAATGAATTTGACCTATACATGAAGGGACGTGATGAATTTAAATTAACGAGGTTTAAACATATCATTTCTCGTTTCACTTTCATGGTCGTTGGAGGTTGGGGAGACCTTCTAAGAGGATATGTCTTAACTCTAATATAAATCACAACATACAAGTAGAACAGTATGATGCTTAAAAAGTCTTGTATTTTTGTCAACAGAATCATTTACTTAAGGTTTCTGGGGATTTCATGGATTTAATTTATTCAACCTCAATTTTTTAATTTATTAAGATAAATCAAAATATGGGCCTTGAAAAGACTGGTAGAAAAAATACAACTCTGCTAGAAATAAAAGTCAAAAAATATAGGTGGCTTGTCTTTGTTAAATAATACATAAGTAGAAAAATATATAATTAAATTAATGGAGAACAAGACATGCCGCTTAAGAATAAAACCTTCACTGGGGGTCCACATTTAAATTAAATAATGTCCAAAAAGATTAAAAATGATAATCTTTTACTCATAAAATTATGTGACGAGAAGAATTCATTATCCTTAACTGATGTTTAGCATTAAGCTTCATAGTCTTGAGTTTATTAAATCGAAGTCGCTTCTTATTAGGTAAATAATGCTGCGATAAGTCTAATGAAGCGAGCTAAAGACCATACTCAAGAAGATTATTCACGTGTAATGGAAACAAATATCGAGTCCCCGTATCATATCTGCCAACTCGCTTACCCACTAATGAAAGAATCAGGAGTTGGAAATATTGTGTTCATTTCATCCGTTGCTGGTGGAATGGCACTGCCTGCACTTTCTGTTTATGCAGCATCCAAAGGTAAAAATTAGTATTAATTAATTAATTTTTTGAGTAAATTTAAATGCTTAAAATCATATTTGAATTGAATTCTTCTTGTTTTTCAGGTGCTATAAACCAACTAACGAAAAATTTGGCTTGTGAATGGGCTAAGGACAATATTCGCACCAATACAGTTGCGCCATGGGGTGTCAATACTACAATCATGAAACAAGTATCATTCTATAACAATTTCGTGCATGTTTGTGATACAGTACTTAATAAGATTAGTCGACAGTACAAGTGACAAATTTTGAACTTATTTTGTTTTTTCAGGAGGATATAGAATTATCTGTTTTGGAAATGTTTGTGCCTCTAATGGCTAGAACTCCGCTAGGGCGATTAGCAGAACCCGAAGAGATATCTTCTTTGGTGGCATTTCTTTGTCTTCCGGCTGCTTCATATATTACTGGGCAAGTCATTTATGTCGATGGAGGATTTACAGCAGGTGGCTTCTAATAAGAATTTCATAGTTTTAAGTTGCCAAATCTATGATTCATAATTTTTCAGAACGTTAGGCTCCTGTAACAATTTATCGAAAGAATTCTGTGTGCTCTCATTCAATTTTTCAATGTAATATTAGTTATGGCACTGGAAAGAAATTCTTTTAATCTGCAAAAAAATTAGAGTTAGTCTTCAAAAAAATAAATAAATAGCGAGAAGGAATCCAGATGCAATACAAAAAGGTTGTGGATTTGAATACGAGATTAAAGTGTTAAGAATTGATATGTTTTGTCAAAATTAGGGACCCCAATGGTTATTTTAATGAGAAAAAAATGTCAAAACTTAATACATATTGTAAAAATTAGAGACACCAGTTATAATATTTCGCTATCATGTCTAATTAGGTGAGCTGCAATTGCTATCACGACTTCATTGATAATCCTTTTTCCTTCTCTTTTTTTTTTTTTTTTTTTTTTTTTTTGGTCATATTTAAATGACGGTCCATAACCGCCAACTATACTTTAACATCAACGACTTATTTATGCCTAACCTAATTATCAATTTAAACTTTTCTTTTGGCTACGTGGAATGGATAATTTCATACAAGCACGACAAATTAATTATTCACATTTGAATTAATCTTAAATTATACCGAGCTTAATCGTACAATATATCTATGTTCACTGTAGAAGATCAATCGCGAGCCATAAAGTAAAATATTGAGGCTCTGATATTAACTTACAAGTACTGAGATATAGTATTGTAGTTTGTAGTTTGTACGTACTACCATTTGGAATTAGGGAAAAAATGTATGTACAGAGGGGGGACTACCGAACCGTGTCCCCCCTCTCACATAACACGTGGGCTCCGCGTGTATTAAATAATGCCGAGCCGTGACCCTCACCTCTTATTATGAGTAGTAGGTAAAATATTAGATAAAAAAAATTCGATACGTATAACATGGTCCTTGGAATTAATCTGAACGGATAGGTCCGTCTAGCACGGCCCCTACCATTTGTAGTGTGGTAAAGGTCAAATCAAGAAAATTGTTCAATTATTTCTTGTACACAAAACATTGTCCACACCATGACATGCTCCCGAGGATTTGACTTTGTGAATCACAAAATGCAGATATATTTTAAACCACATGATAAACATATGCTCTCTACCTCACAATTAAAAGAAACCCTAAAGTTAATTTCAAATCAGAATTCACATTGCACCAGATATATTTTAAACCACATGATAAACATATGCTCTCTACCTCACAAGTCACAAATAAAAGAAACCCTAAATTTAATTTCAAAACAGAATTCACATTGCACTCACAAAATTAAACAAGCAGCAAAATAGTACAAGTTGTCCACGAAAATTATTTTAATCTTTATCATGGAACAAGAACTAAGGTTGGATTTGCACACAGTCTCAGCTCTTGTTTGACAGTCAGATGAGTACTGTACGGCACAAACATATACCAAAGGATGGAATTTTTTCTGCAAATTGGAACTCATGGACCTGCCTGGGCTGCTACTTTTAAGAAAAAAAGCACAGACAAATGCATTCGTGTCTTATTATAAAGAAACAGACATTTTGAATAGATTAATGTGGGAGTTGCCGACACACACCATTTTCTATAGTATGACCCACAAAATTTTGTTAAGGAGACAGATAATAACCGGCAGAAGATGCTTACCCATATGTGTTAAATAAAGGGAAGACAAATGAAGTTCAGTTTTCCAGAGGATGTCTAGATGCTTTTTGCTGTTTACAATGCCCTCTGGAAACATTAGTGGTCCGAGGAAAGAACCATTTGAATTCTATTGTCTATTATTTGAAAGGTAATTGAGATTTGTTGGTTTCGATGCTTCGGTGGACTATCTGATAAGGTTGGACTTTAGGTTTTGTAGATTTGAATCGGACTTTAAATACTTTTTCGATTTAACTAAAAATTAGATTTATTTTTTTTTAGTAAATTTTGATAAAGCTGATGAAATGAAAAAAGTTGTAGTCCTTAAAATACATTATTGATTTTGACTTAAAATTTTTATATTTTTTAAACTAAACCAAGCATGAACCAAAGATTACGTTATCAAGTCATAGTGTCTACTTTGTTCGGTATAGGGGAAAAAAATACAAAATAAGATGAAATTATTTAACTTTACAAAGACACTTAATCACAAATCATCATATAGAAATATACAAATAAATAAATTCAATGATGCAAAATATAATGTCGACAAGAAATGATGACATCAAGTTTATATCCTTAATTTATCAATTCAATTAATTCAATCGTTTTTTTTTTTTTTTAAATGTAAGAGTTAACTCTTGAAATATATAAAATTTATAAGATGAATAAACAGAAATAATTATCACTTAAAATTCTCGCAGAAAATATACTAACTACGGTGACTTGCCATGGCCGGTGTGGGGGGTTTTTGGCTGGATTCAACAAGGTGATGGATGGCCTAATAGTTTTTAATTTTAATTTTTTGACTTTAATTGTTGTATTTTAAGAAGAAGAAAAAAAGTAACAAAAAAAACATTCGTGAGTGATCCATACTATTAGACTGGATAAATTATGGCTAATTGGGTGAATTCTAGCTAATATAATGTAATTACATTAATTGTACATAAAATCTAGAGTTGAATACATTTGAGCGATCCGATGAAATTCACATGAAATTTAACATTTGAAAAGTTTGAGATCTAAATTGCATATCCTCAAAACTTTCGGAGGACAAATTTTGAATGATCATGGAGGTCATAATGCAAGGTTCTCTAGTATGACAGCTTACAATGAAGATGACGTGCTAACTATGTGGTGTGACAGGTCATAAAAAAAATCTTGAAATGAACCAAGTTTAAGCTATAGGGACAGAACCCCTACCGAGCACTCACATCATGGGGCGGTGGGTGGCTTTTGGCCAATTTTTTATATAAGTGGGTCCCATGTGGGACCCACGTGCTGTGAGGGGTTGGCCCTACCTGGTAAAACTACAAAACTCTCTTGAAATAGAAGGGCACGAGCTCACAAGCGGTGTAAGTCACGAAGGAGAAAAGACAATAAATCGAGAACATGAGATTTTTTGTGTGTGTGTGTGTATGTGTGTTTTTTTTGTCAACAGACATGGTTTTTTGTTATGCTGGATATATGTTCTTTGGATGTATCATCTGTACATTTGAAGCTTGTGTCGCTGTATGCTGGGATGTGTAATGTTTTTTTCTTTTTTTTTAGGTTGTAAGCAATTTAGAGAGATGTCTATAGCATTTATGTTTGGTTGTTGTGCTGAGGTGGGGAAATGGAAATTTATTTTGATGCTTATATGGTTTTTTATGTCCACTTCTAGCCCTCTCATTTTTATAAGCAATCAAGGTATTATTTGCTTTTATCTCTCAAATATTTGTGGATTGTACCAGAGAAGAAGAAAATCGCAGCTCCTACCTCCTGTCAAATAATCATAAAAATCATTCTTCGTTCTCAACAGAAAAAACAAAATTTTCAAGAAAAAATTAAGCAAAATAAAGATCTTACTCGTTTCCTTTGTCATGCAATAAAATCTTCTTCCTAGGGTTAAGATTTGTCTACGAAGTCTTCGACAAATATTTGGAAATTTGCCCACTTGTTCTTGGAAACAGCAGCACATGTGAACTTGTCTTCGAATTTTTCACCCTGAAGGTGATATTATCCTTCAAAAACACAGCATATATTTCCCAAGGACGTGGATCTTTACACCTCATTCGTACCATTTCTCATTCTTCAAGTAATAAATAGGCGTTTGAAGTTCTATCCAAATTATGTCGAAAACTCTATTGAATAAAATAAAAAGATATTAAACTTGCCGAACTGAAAACGAGCTCCACTTATGTCTCCGGGTTGAAGATTACTTCATTCACATTTCTGAGGGGTTTTTCCTCATCATAAACATTATTTAAGCTCTCCAACTCATCCTACAAACCGTAATGAGAATGAACATTGCTAACTAGTGATTCCTTTTCAAAATTTACTTGATTTGCCATTTTATTATGAGAAAATTTCATATCTAACAAATTAAGTATGACTCATTTCATAATTAAAAAACAAGATTTATTATTTTCAAAATAAGATATTAATTAAATTTTTTTTATGAAATAATTAATTAAATATATTATGATAACAATTACGTGCTTATAGGTCACAATTTATTTTTCAGTCACATATTATCAAATTAATTGGTAACAAATTATTTTTCGACTACAAATCAAAAATTTTATAAATCACAATTTATTTATCAATCAAATCACAAATTTTATAGGTCACTGAAAAAAAAATAAAAAAAAAATCGGTCACCACAGCCCACAACTCCACGGCCACAGAACAAATCAAAATAAAAAATTAGAAAAAGATTTGCGACAAAGGAGCAAGGGGAGTGTCATCCTGATCATATCGTCGCTGCATCCCCGTCACAGTCGAGTGATTTCACATCTCATCATAGATGAGTGACATCGCATCCCGTCACAATCGAGCGATGCCACGAGCATTTCTCTACAAGTGATGATCACAGTCCACTTTGTGCGACTGTGGTGAATGGTACTGCATCGTCAGACGTCTACAGAGAAAAGGAGGTGGGGGGAGAGAGAGAGAGAGAGAGAGAGTAGATTAAAATATTTTAGGGTTTGAAATTGGATAAGGTGAGTGTTTTGAGGGAAATACATAGAAATAGCCTTTAGAATATGGCCACTTTTCCAAAATGACATTTGGTCAATTTACATACCAAAAATGTCTTCCATTTGGATATTACATGATAAGATACTTCAATATAAAAATCCTCTATTTTAGTCCTTAAAATTAAATACTAGTTGAAATTTGATAGTTTTTATTTGATTTATTTGATTAATATTTTTAATTTGATTTATTTGATTTTTTGTTCGCTCTAAGTAGCACCCTCTTTATTGGTATCAGAGCCATAAAGATCATGAAAATTAAAATAAGAAAAATAGATAATTATTGGCGTTTGGAAGAAGAAAAAGGTAGTTATATATTTTTAAAACGTATTCATAATATATTAAAAATAATGATACTAACAATAATTAAAAAACTGCCTAAATAAATAAAAGAACAAATATTAGAAAAATTAATAATAGAAAAAATAAAAGATATATATACATATGAAAAAAT